CAAATTCTGGTTATTAATGTTTAAAAATTGTTTACATAAAAATCAACTAGAGTTACTAAACGAAAAGAAAATGTGAAAGAAGTTATTGGCACCCGCAGGCAAAAGTACTTAAGGAAGCAAAAAAAAATACAGTTGAATATATACATTGAAGACTGCAATCTATAATTTCCAAATGCCTAATTTAAGAACCAATTTTTGTCATTAAATGTTTCTAATGATCCAACTGGAATTTAGTTAATGAAAATATAAATATAAATTACCTATAAGAACAACCTGTCAACCTATATGAGCAAACGTTAGAAATAGAATAATATGCAAACATTTTAATACTTATAGCCTTATAGGTAACAACGCTAGCAACCATGGACTGCAGTTAATTTTAAATTGCATATCAAATTCTATTTTATACGTTAAAAATTAAAGAATATAATATGATTAGAGGACTCATTATTAATTATGATTGACAACAGTTAGGTTTAGGAAATACTGGTATAATACTACTATGACTTAAAACCATGTTAAAAATTACGGTAATATTCATTTCAATTTAAAAATAATAATAATAATAAAATATATATATAAATTAAATAATTTACATTTCCTCTGCAATTTTTAAATATTTTCTTTCAGTGTTATCGTTATGTATAAAATGTCGAATACCTTGATAGTTAGTAGGAAAAAATCATTGCAAGGGTTATGACCGATGATGACATCCATCTATCATCACCTGTTCTTCCACCCACCATAGTGGCATAGTCTATATAAGTACCTAACCTAACCTTCTTACGACTTATACTTAACCATGTGCTTGTCACGCGGGGAAGGTAGTGTCGTAGCCAGGGTTAGGATTTGTAGAGAGGAAAAGTGTTTACAGTACTAGTACTATACACCCAATATCCCTCCGGAATGGCTGACTACGTCACTGAGTTTAATAAGTATCAATTTGAATGATCGTAGAAAATAAATATTATTTGGGTACCTAACGCGTAACAAACCGATGGTTAACTAGGACACTTTGATTAAAAATATATTTATAGTTGCTTCCCAATTTAAGTGTTTGCTTATCAAATTGTTCTCTAGATTGTTGACCTCTTTAGAATACCTCTTATTATTAGGATATTTGGCATCTTGAAATATTTTTTGCTCTACTAGATTTTTAGGTCTTCGGTGCCTCTGCCTCTAAGATAATATATTATGGACGGCGCCATTTCCATATTTTTTGGGTATGTATAATTTTTAACACATATTTAAGCGACGAGTGTCTTACCAAGATCCGAGATGAGTGTATACATAAGGGAACTGTCTGTATATAGACACGTCCATAGTACATACTACCTATATCTATAGTTCTAAACAAAAAATGTAATCTTTAATTGGAATTATAATTGGATGTAAATTGTATATAAGTAATAATCAGAATGTATTAAAGATTTATCTGTATATACATTATCTCCGACTTTCAAGTTCTGTTGCAAAAAATTATTAACCTGTTATTATTATTAAAAATGGATGATCCTATTGATAACTAACTGCTGAACAAACAATTTTTATGTTTTTCACTTGTAAGAATAATTGCATGTTCATAGGTGAGACGTCCTCATTAAAGCAAAACAACTTTTAAATATAGRTATATGAATGCCGAATGGGTTATATACTTATATCTAAATGCTGCATGCCCTCTTCAGACATTAAAATTATAGTTATTATTCTTTTCTGACCACAGAAACGTCATGTGGCATCATGATAATTTTATTTCATCTTAATATAGAAGGTACTTAAAAAAGCTACCCTCGAGACTAGAAATTGAATTATTACGATTTTGAATATTTTTTA